GTGTGTGTGTGTGTGTGTGTGTGTGTGTGTGTGTGTGTGTGCACGTGCGCGCGTGCGTGCGTGCGCGCATGCCTGTGACAGTCTGACATACCGACACAGTAGCGGAGCCGTCCACACCCATGCCCGCCGCAAACACCATGTTCCCCGCCTCCCTCCCCGCCCCTCCCAGGAGTTCTCCTTCGCCAGCCTCCTGCGCTCCCAGATTGACGCCCTTGTTGCCGCCCGACTCCCGGCCCTCACCTCCCTCACCCTCAACGACATTGCGGCCTTCGACGACACCTGCGCCCTGGAGCTGCTGCTGCGCGCCCCCTGGGTGACAAACCTGCGCAGCCTGCGGCTGGAAAACTGCCACGTGCGCGATGCGGGCATCGACCAGCTGCGCCACCACCAGCTGCCGCTGCTGCAGGACCTGTCGCTGGCCCGAAACGCGCTGTCGGACAGGGCCGGGGTGGAGCTGATGTGCGCGGTGCTGCCGGCGCTGCGGCGGCTGGACCTGTCCAGCAACGCGCTCTCGGCGCAGTCCCCCAAGCTGTGGGCCGCGGTCGAGGCCGAGCTCGAGGCCCGGCACGGCCGTGGCCTTCGCTACTGGCTGGGGACCGTGCAGGAGCTGATTTTCAGCGGCATGGGGCCCGAGTTCGGCGATGAGGCGGTCGCCGACCTGGCGCGCGCGCGCCTGCCGTCGCTGCGGTCGCTCTGCCTTGTCAACAGCGGCCTGAGCGACGCGGCGGTGGCGGCGCTGGCGGGCGCGGAGTGGATGCGGCACGTCGTGTCGCTTGACATCGGGCGCAACATAGAGATTGGCAGGGACCCAGCGCCGTGGGCGGCGCTGGCGGCGGCGCCGCTGCATGAGCTGCGGCATCTGAAGCTGACGTTCCTGATCCTGGGCCGCGGTGCACAGGAGGCGCTCGGTGGCAGCGCCTGGCTGGGCGGCCTGGAGGCGCTCAGCTTCGGACGGCGCCTCGCGGCGGACTCGCCGGTGCGCCGTGCGGCGGCGTTTTTGGCGCTGGAGGCGGCGGGGCGGGTGCTGTATGACATACTGTGACGATGCGGGCGTGTAACAAAGGGAGGGCGGGAGGGCGTGTGCGGAGCCTGGTCGGCCCTTGATTGCCTATGTGTGACAACATTCAGTTCAGGAACCTGCATGTACCTCCAGTGTGTTCTCAGTCAGGGCTGTACTGTAATCAGACGTGACTTGTGATGATGACCACCGGGTGGCAAGTGTTTTGGCAATGCAAGCAAGCACAGCACGACGAGCCGTATGAATTACCCCTGTATATTTACTTTGATTCCTTTCATGGTGGCAGGCATACCGCCAGGGGCCTGGGAGGTTGACACAAGCGCCGACTGCCAAGTGGCGGCTGTTGCCACCTCAGCGTAACCTGTTCGTGTCGCCGCACACGGAAAGGGTTGGGGAGCCACAACGCGCCAAAGGGTGTTCAACGCACACATTCGCACAATGTAATTCGCACAATTCTAAAGCACATATACATGGAAGCGCGCTCTAATATGATCAGGCTTGCACCCAAGTCGATCTGAGGCTGGGGTACGGAACAGGAGCCATGAGTGGATTTTCCAGGTGAGGCGAAACAAGTTGATTGCGCTGGAGCATATTTGCTTACGCGTCCCCCGGGCTGGTGCCGAAAGCCTCGCGCTCTCTGCAGGCTCCCTCTGCACGTGGACCTGGTGCCGGAGCGTGGTAGCTGGATCGCGCTGCCACCCACGCTTGCTGCGCAGCTGCTCGATGCGGGCGCCGAGCTGCCACTGATTGTGCAGCTGGTGCCGCTCGACGCCATCGGTGCGCGCTTCTCGCAGGCGGACCGCCTGTCTCCTTGCAATGGGCGCATGTTGCATGCCGCATATGGTCGCCTCTTACAATAAGTGAGTGTCTCAAAAGCAGCCTTACCCACCGCGCTTCAAACACCCCCACAATGCGCCCCTCGCAGGCGCCCCTGCCCAAGGCGCGCGCCCGCTGTTTGCCGCGTGGCAGGGCTCGACCCTCCCCTCAGAGGGCGCCCTCGGCGTCCCCGCCGCGCTCGCAAACTGCCTCGGCCTGCGTCGCGGCGCGCCGGTGCAGCTGCGGCCGCTAGCGGGGGTGCCGGCGGCAGAAGCGGTCATTGTCGAGCCACTAAGCGGGGATGACTGGGAGGTCCTCGAGCTCAACGCGGGCCACTTGGAGGACCAGCTGCTGGAGCAGGTGGGTTCAAACGAGCGTTTGAATTGTACCCATGATCTGGACGACCTGGGCGACCCGCCAGATCCAGACGACCTTGCCTTCTCATTGCATCTGTTGAGGAGAAGCGGCCGAGGAACAACCATGGGAGGGGGGGGGGGCGCCCGTGATTCAATTGCGGGTGGGCTGAAGACGGAACGTGCTCTGCGGGCGCTCCCACCGCCAACGCCGCCGCCGTCGCCATGCACGCCCAATGCAGGTCGGCGTGGTGGCGCCCGGCCAGGCGCTGACGATGTGGGCGCGCCAGGCGCCCGCAAGGCTGCTGGTGACGTCACTCCTGCCAGAGGGCCTCGCGGTCGCCCGCCTGGCGCCGGGCACCGAGGTGCACATCGCCCCAAAGCCGCGCGTCGGCGCCGCGGGCGGCAACGGCGGCGGCGAGCTGCCGGCCGTGGGCGGCGGCGGGGAGGCGGCGGCGGCAGCGGCGGCGGCAGAGCAGGCGCCGCGCCGCGTGTGGCTGCGGGTCCTGGAGGCGGGGCCCGAGTGCCTGCTCGGCGCGGGGGTGCCGCCCGGTGAGCCGCAGCGGCGGCATGGGGGCCAGCCCGTGCATGCAACCCAGGAGGTGCAGTCGTGGCTGACCTGCGCCGCACTCTTGTCGAGCTCCACCGCGGCCTCGCAGCGCCTCGCCCTCGGGCGCCCCGCGCAGCTGTGCAGCGGCGGCGGCGCGGCCGCGGCGCCCCCCGCGGGCGGCGGCGG